ACGGAGAACCGGGTTACAGGTGGTGGGAGAAGTGTGTGGACCTGGGTCTGAGGCCTGCCCCCTGGGGCACCTGCTAGTCCTTGGCCCAGAGGCTGCGCTTCAGCGCCCCCTCGTGGAATAACGAGCTGCCTGGGCGTCCTCCCTAGTCTAGTCTCTGAATGCACTGGAGCCTTTGTGCGTGGCTGCCTGCTCAGTTGCTCAGTCTTATCGGACTCTTTGGGCTCCTCTGTCCATAAGGTTATCCCGGCAAGAATACTGGACTGGGTTGCTATTTCCTGCCCCGGGGGACCTTTCCTACCCAGGGACTGATCCCGCGTCTCCTGCGTCTCCCACACTGCAAGAGGATCCTTTACCCCTAGCACCACCTGAGGAGCCCCAAGATGCCTTTAGTCTTCTTCAAATTGTCTTTTTAAAAAATTCCTTTTGTTCATTCATTTCACAAACATCAGTTCAGTTCAGTTCAGTCCCTCAGTCGTGTCCTACTCTGTGATCTCATGAACTGCAGCACACCAGGCCTCCCTGTCCATCACCAACTCCCAGAGTCCACTCAAACCCATGTCCATTGAGTTGGTGATGCCATCCAACCATCTCATCCTCTGTTGTCCCCTTCTCCTCCTGCCCTCAATCTTTCCACCATCAGGGTCTTTACAAATGAGTCAGCTCCTCGCATCAGTGGCCAAAGTATTGGAGTTTCAGCTTCAACATCAGTCCTTCCAATGAACACCCAGGACTGATCTTTAGGATGGACTGGTTGGATCTCCTTCTAGTCCAAGGGACTATCAAGAGTCTTCTCCAACACCACAGTTCAAAAGCATCTGTTCTTCGGCACTCGGCTTTCTTTATAGTCCAACTCTCACATCCATACATGACCACTGGAAAAACCATAGCCTTGACTAGACGGACCTTTGTTGGCAAAGTAATGTCTCTGCTTTTTAATATGCTGTCTAGGTTGGTTATAACTTTCCTTCCAAGAAGTAAGTGTCTTTTAATTTCATTCCAATCCCAAAGAAAGGCAATGCCAAAGAATGCTCAAACTACTACCCCACAATTGCACTCATCTCACACACTAGTAAAGTAATGCTCAAAATTCTCCAAGCAAGGCTTCAGCAATACATGAACCATGAACTTCCAGATGTTCAAGCTGGTTTTAGAAAAGGCAGAGGAACCAAAGATCAAATTGCCAACATCCGTTGGATCATCGAAAAAGCAAGAGAGTTCTGCTTTATTGACTATGCCAAAGCCTTTGACTGTGTGGATCACAATAAACTGTGGAAAATTCTGAGAGATGGGAATTCACAAACATGAGTGTGCCTAAAATGTGCTAGGCACTGGGTTAGAGGCTTAGCATAGGGAAATGAATAGGGAATGTCCCTTTCCTGAGAACAAGGTCATTGCAAAATGACAGAAAGTGTACCTGAGGAGAGGGATTAGCCTGGTGCACTGCCCTGCTGGTGGGAGTGCAAATTTGGGCCTTCCTTTGGAGGCCAGTTTGGCATCAGCTTCTAGATTGTCACATGCATACCTTATATGAGTGAGGAGTCCTGGTTGCTTGGAAGCAGAAGAGATGTTGGCTTTCTTTTTCTTAAGGCTATGGAGTAACTCACAGGGTCCCAGGGGAGGCTGCAGTCTCAGGCTCAGGTAGGGACATAGGTGAGCAGGCAGCTGCCATGACCAGAGCCGAAATCACACCATGAAATAGTCAGGCACTGGTGGCCACCACTTGCCTGCTGTGGGTGCAGAGCCTGTGTGCTGCACCACCATCACCTCCCATGGCCAAATGGGGGGTGAGTGTCTGCCTAACTGGGTGGACGTCACACACCTGCTCTCTAGACACAAGGGAGTCACAGGGAAGGTGGGCACCCAACATTTTGTGCCTCTGCAACGGCAAGTGGGCTATGCCTTCCACCCAAAAGTAGAGCCCCAAAGATGGTGATGCTGGTGGCCAAAATCATGACAAATGTCCTCCACACACACGTTGACCTGGAAATTCCATTTCTACATTTTAATCATTTAGAATTACATTAATACTTCACAGGTACTCATTTATCCCACAAATATTTGTTGTATATATTACCATGTACTAGGCACTGGGAGATCAGAGTGCAAAAATGGACACTCTGTGCCCCCATGGAGCTTCCTGGGGAAACAGATATAAATGAAATCAGTCCCAAAGCAAGTGTGAAAGTACAAGTGAGCTGAGGGCTATGAAGGAGTTGGGTGGGCATGATATGCCACCTGGCCCGGTCAGAAGCAGCAGGGAAGAAGGCTCTTGGGAGGCGAGGGTCCAGCTGGCCCTGAAGACAGAGGAGGAGGCATCAGGACCTGGAGGCCTGTCTGTAGGGACAAAACCATGAAGTGCCTACAGAAAGGCCAGGTTAAATCATTTCTGTTTGCCCTCATTTCACTGGGAAGCCATTGACACATTTGGAGGTGGTGGTGGTGGTTTAGTCACTAAGCCATGTCTGACTCTTCGCAACCCTAGGGACTGTACCCTGCCAGGCTCCTCTGTACATGGGATTCCCCAGGCAAGAATAGTGGGGTGAGTTTCCATACCCTTCTCCAGGGGATCTCGCAACCCAGGGATCGAACCCAGGTCTCCTGAACTGTAGGTGGATTCTTTACCAACTGAGCCACCAGGAAAGCCTGTGAGGGATGTACAAATGGTGACACGATCAGATTTGCATTTTGCAAAGATCAGAACTGTGTGAACTGGACTGGGGTGCAGAAGGAGCAGGAAACCCAAGGAAGTGGTTATGCATCCAAATAATTGGAGATGGCAGCACAGACAATATGAAGGTCAGTGCTGGGCAGAGCAGCAGTTTTGGTGTTAACCTTTGTAGAAATAGCCTCATGGATTAGCAGTCATGAGAGAAAGGACACACCAAGTTTTCAGGCTTTGTCCTCCAGGAAACAGCATCACGTGCTCACATGGAAATGCGTCAGAATTGCATGTCAGAAAGTTGGGGTTGGGGAAGCCCTTAGAGATCATACAATGTGAAAAGCAGGTTGTAAAATATGGAGAAAAACAGGATGCAGAACAAGGTCCAATCATTGCATATATTGTGCACAGGAAGGGCTACGTCGAGTTCACTGTGGTGTTAGATTATCTTTGCTTTGTATATTTTCTGTGATAAGTATGTAAATACTTTTGCAATAAGGGAGGAATTCAATCTTATTTTTTAAAATAAATTATCTAGTATATATATATATATATAACTCTTGTTATCAGAGAGGAAGCTGAGATGGGAAAATCTCTGGACAGGAAGAAAGGAGTAATCCAATTAATTACTACCATAGAAGCCTTTTGTTGTTGTTTGAAAATGTTCATCTGTATTTGAAAACTCCTTGCCCTCTTGAAAGATTTTTTTCAAAGCTATATGCAAAGGGCCACTCCCCTTATATAGCCAGCACACTATTTTAATAATTGAATGTGTCTTCCCCAAATCATAAAAGTTCCAGAGACAGAAGGAGTGTTTCAGTCAGCTGTGCTCCAGCAAATGATAACCTGCCAGGGTCTCTGGATCTTGGCACTCCTGCCACATGGGCCAGCTGACTTTTGTCCTGTGCATGCTTCCTATCCTCCCTGGCCTCTCACCACTCAATGTTAGCATCCCTCCCCCAACTTGTGACAACAAAAAGTGACCCCAGACATTGCCAAATGTCCCCAAGGGAAGAATAACCCACATTGAGAACCACTGGCTTAAGTGTTGCTTACATACCTCAGGTGACAGAGACCTCACTACACCTATAAGCAAGCTTTTCCAACCCGGGGTTGCTGTTGGAGAGTTCAGCATTTCACTGAGCAACCATCTGTATCCCTCCGGCTTCTTTCCTTGGGGCCAGTAGCAACCGTGTCCAATCCCCTTTCCTGTGATGCTTCTGCAGAGATTAACATAGTGCCCTGTTCTGCTCCCCATTGCCCCCCTCCACCTGCTGCCAAATCTTTTCTCTCCCAAATTGAGCATTCCTCCTTCAGCTGTGCCTAACAGGACACACTGGGTATTCTGTGGGTTCATGACTGCTCCAGGTCCTCAGTTACATATGATGCTTCAGGTGCTGGCTGGCTGTGGACTGATCACCTCCCTCCTCTTGGATGCTCGTTCATGTAGTCTGCAGCTATGTCACACCAGGACAGCCTTCTGAGCTGCTGGCCAAAACACTGAAGCTTTGTGTGACACCGTTCTCTCAGGTCACTCTTCACACCCACACCCTTCCCCTGCCTCATTATGACTACGTTTATCCTTCTCAAATTTCACTTCACAGGAAGTCTGTAACCACGCTTGTCTCAGGAGACAGCAGGGTGGCTAGGGACAGGATGGAAGAGAAAATGAATTGCACACAATGAAGACTGCATACACATCTGTGCTTTTTAAGCTTTTTGCTGCATGCATGTATTCCCTGGTCACCGTAAACAAGCCAGCAAATAGATCCATGGGACATACTTCACCTGCTTAGGGTCACCCAGTCCTTCCAATCTGTCTGACCCATTTGGAAAGGGATGATGGATCTTCCAGAGTCCTCACTTTCATCCTCAAAGACCTTCCAATTCTTCACTTAAAGTCATCCACGAGGCCAGATGGAAAGAGACAAGGCTAGGCTCACCAAGGCACTTTTAAATCAAGGTACTGAGTGGTGACTTTTCCAGCTGGGACCCCAGGATTCCACCCATTTCCTTCAAGAAAACAAGTTGGCCCTCCTCTAAGTCATTACTATTGCATATCTGGTTTCCCTAAACAGAGACCCACTGACTGGCCACCTCGCTTGCTTCCTCCTTCTTTCTGGGGAGTCTCTAACTGCAGGGCAAGCTGGCAGAAGTATCACCACCCAGAAAGGTGCTTCTAGAACACTCTGGTGCAACTCACCCCTCTCACCATGACCCTAGCTCCTGCAGCCACCCCACGGCACACCTGGACTCTGGCACTGAGAGTTGCTGAAGGCCTCATTCATTTAAGGGCAGCAGCAAGCCATCTTGAAGCAGCAATAAGAATTGCACACACTGGTAATGGCAAATTTATGTGATTTATTCATACAATAACTCATGGTGCACTTAACACACATACAAGGCCACATTTTCAATAGTGTGGAAGAGATTAATTGATAAAACCTGTTAAGTAAATAATGAGTTTTGAATATAAATCACTCGCAAAAGGTTCTGTCCAAAACACTCGAAACAACGATAAATTAGGACAAGGGTTTGGTAAATGTCAGCCTCGGTCCTGCTGCAAACCCTCTCCCCTGCATAAATTCCAGTGCCTATTGCAGGCAGGAAAAAGCAAAAGCCCTTATTAACCCTTGGCCTTTGTTCGCATCCTAACTCTTGCTCTCTGGCCAGTGCCAAGTACACTAGGCCTCTTCTTTGTTTCCCAGGGCTCTGCTCCTCCTGCCCGGCCTGTGCCATGTGATCCTGTGTGGGTACCTCATCCAGAGCCAAGCCAAACCACAACTGTCTTCTCCAGCTTGGACTTGTCTCCATCAGAGGCCCAGAATCACAGCCCCGAATTCAGAACCAAGTATGGCCATTGTCTGGTGACTAGGGCCATTGGCTCCCAGCCATCTTGGACAGGAAACTCTGTTTCAAAGAAAAGCCCTTGAGGGTGGGCTCTTGAGCACATCAGAGACTCGACAGGGAGGCAGCCTCTGCCCCAGCAAGTAAGTCCATGGAAGAGACACCCAAGGAGCTTTGGTAGCATGTGGAGGGCAAGTCCCCAACAGAAGTGAGGGCTCTGAGCATCACAACAATATGGTGACCAGAGCACCCCTGTCAGTGACAGCCCTCTCAGCTTCAAGGTCTCATTCACAGAAGAGAGACTGCCCAGGGTGGGAGGGGTGAGGTTGACAGCAGGTTCAACCACAAGGGGCTGTACCTAAGGCCCAAAGAGACGATGGGCAGAGGCCAACATTGGCAGCTGGCTTCCAGCTCAATGTGAGCCCAGGCCAGAATCTGAGACTCAGAGGAGGAGCTATAGCCGGTTGGACTTGGGCACTGGAGAAGAAGCTGAGTCTCATTTGGGAATGTGTACCCCCTTGTTCTCACACAGTGAGGTGGGATAGCTTGGACACCTGGCAGGCATCGCTGAAGTTGGCCTGAAGGAGGAGGGCCATCTCCTTGCTAGGGTCTGGAGAAATCCTGCCTTCTGTAGCCAGCTGAGTCTTATCTCTCAGCACACCCCACCATTTTTACTGCTTAGAGGTGAGCACGGGCTAGGTATTTGTACACACACATTCACAGCAGTATTATTTGCAGCAGCCAAAAGGCAGAAAATACCCCAAGTGCCCTCAGGGATGAATGGATAAACATAATGCAGTCTATCCATGCCATGGAACAGTATTCAGCCTTAAAAAGGAAGGACATTAAGGTACCTGCTACGACGTGGGTGAACCTTAAAGATATTATTCTAAGCGAAAGAAGCCAGGCACAAAATGCTACTAAATGCATGATCTCACTGATATGAGGTTTACAAAGTAATCAAATTCAGAGACAAAAAGTAGAATGGTGGCTACCAGGGGCTGTGGGAGGGAAAGAATGGGCAGTAACTGTTGAATGGGGACAGTTTCACTTATGCAAGAGGAAGAGTTCTGAGGATGGATGCTGGTGACAGTGGCATAACACTGACTGTCCTTAATCCATGGTGTGTGCACTTAACAATGTGTGAGATGGTAAATTGGACATTATATGCATTTTACTACAGTTTTTTAAAGCATACAGAAGTTGGGAATATTTGTAAAAAAAAAAAATAATGTAGGAAGGGTGGTGCAGTCATGACAACTGTTAACCAAGAACTGCCGGCAATGTGAAAAAGCAGGCTAACATTACCTTAGACCAAAACACCTGAGCACAGGATTTAATGTGGTAGGTGCCCAGGTGTCTGGAGGTGGCTACTGGTCATCTTCACCATTTCCCATGTCTTCCCAATTTTACAAAAGGAGCATATATACTCTTCTGATCATGGGGTAGAGAGACAGGGTAAATTAAGTATAAAAACCAACCACAAGAAAAGGAGAGGAATATGAATATTTATTAAATCTCTAGATTGGGATGGGTTTCATGTTTAATAGGAAAAGACAGGGGGAAAATCACATAGGAAAAGAGCAATTTGTTTGATTACTTAAGAAAGCAAAACCCGAAATTTAAAGGCAAACTCACATGAGAGATACAAATGCCCAACAAATGTACACAGAGAACAATGATCAAGGCCATTAATAAGCAAAGAATTCAAAGCTCAAATAGGATTCTACTTTCAGCTATTATTGGGAGGGTGGGGGTTTTTGTTTGTTTTTATGGTCTGTAATATCTGTATGCTTATTTGCTTTATTTTCAGTTTTACTATCCTAAGGGAGCAGGAGAGGACTAAAATGGAGATGCTTTCAGCAACTTGGCACTAAGTGCCCATCCTAAGGGATTAATGTGAAACACACAAAAACATTTTATTCACAAAGTTGCTTATCACAACATTATTTACAATACTGAAAATCTGGAAATTGACTAAATTGCCAATAACTGAAAGAAAGTTTAGGAAATTATGATAAAACTACACAATATACTACCACCAATATAAAGTATCTGTAATAACCACATAGGAAAATAGGAATATAAAACTGCATGATAAAGTACGTGGTATGATTACAATGTAAAAAATTTATACCCCCAAAAGGCAAGATATTTAGTGACTATCTTGGTGTAAAATACTGATGTGTTTTCTTACCTTTTATTACATTTCTGTTCTCCATTTTTTTCTAAAATTAACACATTAATTTTACAATCAGAAAAATAAACCCTTTTATTAAAGTAAGGTGCCCACAAGATTCTTCAGTGACGTTCATCTCATCCAAGAATGCAGTCGAGAGAGTTCAGAGCTCTCATCCTCTTGGAAGTAGAGGCATAGAAGCGGGCTGAGGCAGATGATTATGTATGGATGGATGGTGAAGTGGGGAGGGAACAACCTAGGGGTGGGCCGGGAGGGTGGGATTGGCAAAGGAGAGATAGGCACCAGCTCACAGACTGGCCAGCCAAGGAAAGGGGCTTTGTGGAGTCAGGGAAGACTCTGACTGCTCAGCGGAGGTCTGTGTAGACCCAGAAGTAGGCACTAACGGTGTTCTCAAAGGGCAGGATCAAAGAGGGATTTCAGGAAGACACATGGATTTTGAGGGGAGCAGGGGAGGAAAGAGGGGGGGAGGTAAACTACTTGGGAAGGAGGTGGGAAGGGCTGGGGTGATAGCAATGGTGGTGGAAGAGGAAGAGGTCAGTTGGCAGAGGGAACTCCCTGCCCTGCACTTACACCAAACACACGTGGCTCCTTGCCAGACAAGCCTTTGCAGGCAAACAGGAGAGAATCAGCCCATGGGAGGAACCTGTCAACAGCCAGGTGGATCAGGTCAACCAGTTTAGAGCTAACCTAGGGCAGCTCTGTTCAATCCACTTTCTGCCACACAGAAAGGCTGTAGATCTGTCTCATACGGTGCCCCAGTGCCCTACCCACACTGGCTCTTGAGCACTTGAAATAGGGCAAGTGAAACAGATTCTGCTTTTGAAATGTTGGTTGTAATTTCATTCATGAAAATTTAAAGTCACTGGGGCCTAGTGGCTACTGGTCAGCACATACGTGGCAATAGTTCTCAAAGGGCACTCTTTGGAGAAGCAGGGTCAGAAGTGCAGGCTCTCAGACCCCCGCCCAGACACCCTGAAGCAGAAGCTGCCCCCTCGTGTATCTGAGCCTCTGAATTAGGGCCACTCAAGATTTCTGAGATCACTGGTCTGGGTTTCAAGTAAACTGCATGAAAGACCCCCTGGCTCAAGTGAAATAGGGATTTCTACAAAGAATGACTAGAGAACCATTCATAAAATGTGTCCAGTTCAGCAGGATTGGAGAAAAGCTATGTGATGCAACGAAGATGTGGTTTCCCTAAGCCAGGTCAAGATAAGGAATGTGGTCAGCTTTGATATGTGAAAACCAGAGAGCAGCTGCTCGTCTGGATGAATGCTGGAGACGTGCACAAGTGGCTCCACCCTGGCATCAGTGTCAAAAACACAAAAAGCAACCATCACCTGTGAGCTGATTTAGAAGAGCATGCCCCTGCATGTGAAACGCAGCCGAGTTTCTAAAAGGAGACATTTGTAAAGGGAGGCCAAGGAAAGCTAAGACCTAAGGAGAGAAGAAGCATTCTGAGTCTGTGCCCTCACTGAGAAAAGAGAAGACAGAGGTTCTTCCTGCAGAGTCAGATCAACATGCAAAACGCCCCCGAGCAGACCCAGCAGTGGCTTTGGTCACACAGGTGAGAGACAGCCAAAATGCGAGTCACTCTGCTCTTTTCAGCACAGTTCAGCTTACAACTTCAGCAAGAGGACAATTTGGAGATTTTCTGATACTAGAATGTGCTTCAAGAAATACAGAGAAAAAACAATAAGGTGTACAGATGATAGTCAACCAGGAATTCGAAATAAAAGCTTCAAAATAAAAACTTTATAACTGTAAAGTAAGAGATAAAGGTAAACACCCTGAAAAGACATCACGAGAAACTGGACTGGATTGTAAAATTCTGCATTGAAGTGATGTGAGCAATAGAGAGGATGGAGAAGGAAAAAGAAAAGGCTGAGGGACACCATCCACAAAAGTGGAGGCTTCCAGAAAAGAGATGGGATCAGCAGAGAGGAACAGGGCCCTTCACTTCTCAAGTACAAACTATTGGCAGAACATGAAGTCACTGAATCAATTAGAAGACTGTTATGTCACCATATACGCCTCCACTGTAGGCTTAGTAAAAACAAAAATCCGTATTTGAAATTTTACTGATTTGAAGTAATCTTATAATATCTTGCCTTTTTGGTTACAATGTAATGCAGTGCAATAAATTAATTTGCTGTATTTTGGTTCACAAACATTTACCTTTTACACACCAAAGCAGCACATGTAAAGAATTACAAAAAGTTACTTTGATACAGGACTACTACTCTGTTTATTAACAGAGTGCTTCACTCTTCTGATGACTACTGATGACTGATCAACATGTAGTGAACATGACCTGTGAATATCCCATTATTTTTAAGATGACATAGGCTAAGCTTATTACTACTACCTGCCTTTCCTGGTAACTTTATTTAGTGAATACAGAACCACCATCTGGGGAATTAGAAATCACCTAATATGATATTAATGAATTGCTTTCACAGTCCTCAAAAGAATTTAGAATTTACTAAAATTAATGTTATTCGTAATAGCAACTAACAGTAGACTATTTCCTTTCTGCCTCCTGGATAAATACATGTTTGCAACCAAGAATCTCCAGAGAAGAAGAATGCTAATGGTTTTAAATGTCTCAATTCAGGGATACAGTGTTACGCCTTCAACTATTTTCCACTGTGAATAAAGATGACTTTTAAAGATGGCCTTGGTGTTCAAGGGTCATATTACTTGCTAACAAATTATTGTCTGTGCCAGAAAGTCTCTGAAAAATTTTAACTAAATTTCTCATACATGGCATGCCTCTAGTTTACTTAGCATTATTTATTATTTGATATAGAAATTCCACAGTAATCACCTCATGCATATTTTGTTTTTGGATTTGAAGATTTGCAATCTTGGAAAAGTTAGAGCTAGACTTTCAGGTATTGGCATCCAACATTATTAAGTTTACATTAAAAAAAAACCTAGGGTACATGTTGATATAATATTTTGAGTGTATCAGGCTAAATTAGATATATTATTAAATTATAAACAAAAGAACCAGGAATTTATAGTATCAATCCTAGTTTGACATGTGGTTACATTTTGAAACGTACTACATTTCACAAATAATTGAAGTATTATATTTCTTGAGTACAGTGCTATGTTAAGTTACTATGCTCTTGATAGCTGAAGCTATGACAATTTCAACTTGCTCACTCTGTGCTTATTCATTCAATAAATAAGCTATGACTGTTACAAAAAAAATAAAAAAGAAAGAAAAGGTTCAGCCCAATTACAATGACAAAATCAAGTTGCAGCTGTTACATATTCTTAGGCCAAATTACTGATGCAGGTTTTGACTCCCTGCCCCTGGGGTTGATTCCAATAGTATGGGTAATCATGAAATAACCAGCTCTAATCCCTTCTCTCACTGGCATTATATATGATCTCTGTGGTTGGCGAACTCAAGGCATGAATGACTGGGGAAGGGTTCCACCCAGAGAATCATTATACACATTGTGATCCTGCAAAGGATCAGAAGCTACAAAATACAGTTCCCCTGCATGGATGTCTGAAAAATTAGCCAGAAACTCCTGGGGATTGAAGCCCACCCACACAGTATACCTGTAGTCTACCGTGCGTATGGAATAGCCCATGACCTTTATATCTTCTAAGCTCGGCTTGTCAGAATTCCACTGAGGAGAGTCAGCGGGCCGAGGGTACTGGCTATAGGCAACCAACTCCCGGGGATTACCGCGGACATGGGGCTCCTCTTCCTCACCACGGCCCTCAAAGAGCTTCAGGAGGTTCCGGCCTTCTCGGCACAGCTCCATGTGAAACGAGGGGATGGGGCAGCGTGGAGGAACACGGAGCCCCGCAAGTCCAGTGAGTGTGGGGAAGAGAGAAAGCAGCTCCACCAGGTCCTCAGTTTGCTGGCCTGAAAGAGGAAGCCACCCCGTGGAGCAGGTTACAGCCCCACACACTGACCTGTGTTCTTTTACAGCATTTATTTTAGCCCAAGAGCTTTAGGAACAAAGCCAATTCAGGTCCTCACCCAACAGCAGGGGAGAATAAAGGTGCCCTCAGCTTGCTGGCACTTTTAGAAACGATTTAAATGTAGGACCCACCAGTGTGTGGGTGACTCAGGCAAGGCCCAGACTGCTGGGGAAAGTCTGTTGAGGACAGTCTCACAGCATTGCCTGGCTGATCCCTCCTTTCTGGGTAATTGCATCTCATCCATTTCCCTCTTATTGTTGTAAAATACAAATAACATGAAATTTGCCACTGTGACCAGCTTTTAGTGCCCAGGCTGGGGGCACTCAGGACATTCCCACTGTTGTACGGCCATGCCCACCACCCAGCACAGAACTATCTTCACCTTGCACAGCTGAAACCGTCCCTGTGAAATGACTCCTCCAGCTCCAGGCACTGCCCTTCTACTATTCGTCTCTGTGTGTCCACTGCTCTAGGCCCCTCACAGACATGGAATCACATCGTGTTTGTCCTTTTGTGCCTGGCTTCTTTCACTCAGCATCACGTCTTCAGAGTCTACCCAGGTCATAGCATGTGTCAGTTTCCTTCCCTTTTAAGACTGGACGATAGCCCACTGTATGGATGTGCCATATTTTGCTTATCCATTCATCTGTCAATGGACACTTGGGTTGCTCCCACCTTTGGGCTACTAATAATGCCATGAACACTCTTCTACATAGTTTTCTTGGAGTACCTGGTTTCAGTTCTGTGGGATATATACCTAAGAGTGGAACTGCCAAGTCACATGATCGTTCTATGTTTAACTTTTAGAGGACCCACCAAACTCTTTTCCACAGGGACTGGACCATTTCACATTGCCACTGGCAAGGTCTAAGAACTCCTATTTCTCCACACCCTTGGCTGCCATTTTCTGCTTTGATAACAGCCATTCAAACAGGTATGAAATGATATCTCATTGTTGCTGATTTATCTTTAAAGGCTAAATCCTCCACTTTATTGGGACTCCTGTTAAAATTTACTGTGACTCTGGGCCATAACTCTAGCCTTTCTGGATCTTTAAGAGTTTTCTTTATATGGCTCAATTTTATTTCCAACACATTTGGTTTGTAAGTAAAATAAAAATAAAGGTAAAGACTATTTTTTAAAAGATACCTTTACAACGGCAAGGTCGGTCTAACACAACCACCTTAACCAGATAGTCCAGCTTGACATCACTAATAATGGCACAGGCCACCATGAAGTGTCCCCAGTGGGATACAGGTGGAGCCCACAACCTCACAGTGTGCAGCATGTGTCCAAAGGGTTTACCCTGAATCTAGTTCTCAGGAAGCAGCCAGACAAACCCAGACTGTGGAACATTGTACAAGATAGCTGCCCTGGATGTTTGAAAAACATGAGTTCAGGGAGATACGGGGGGCCCAGGTGACAGCCAGCCATTGTAATAACTTTTCACTCAGAGTTGAGACAGGAGTGTAAGAGGCCCCAGAGTAGGGTTCTGAAACCACCTGCTTGGGATTTAACAGGCTCATTGAAGCTGTTAACATCAGGCTCACTGAGGAAAAACTCTAGGAATCAAGGGCACAAGCCAGGAGGTTTTAGCAAGAGAAGGTGGCAGTGTGGTGAATGGTGGTGGCGGTAAGTGGGAGAAATGGTGTAGACAGATTCTGAATGAAGAGTGGCAGGAGTGCTGAAAGACTGCTCATTGAGTGCAGACCATAAGAGAAAAGATGGGCTGCTATCAGCATGGTTTTCTGGCCTGGGTAACCACTGCCATTTCCTGAGAAGGGGAAGAGTATCAAAGGCTTAAAGTCAAAGGTCAAATATTCAGCTTTGGGCACGTTAGACTGGCTGTTGGAAATCCAAGTCCAATGATCAAAGAAGACATACAAGCTTGAGAGAAAATTTGGAAAGAAATGGGATGACAGTGCAGCAACATCAATTTATAAACTGCTCAACACCTCCCCTCTGAAGTTTCAAAAAGGATTCTCAACCTATCAGAAGATTTATCCCAGCAAATAAAGGGCTATGGTCATGTCTTCAAACTGTTTTAACATTTTTATCAATGACATGAAAGAAGACAGTGCATGCAGCACACAGAAATCAAAGGTTCAGGAAAAAACTGGGCAGTAGAGAGCAAACTTGGAAAGATCCAGAAAGGCCAGAACGATGGGCTAGAACCAAGAAAAATTTAAACAAGAGCCATTGATGGGACAGACCTGGCGCCACACCAGATGGAGGAGCTGAGGTAGCTAATGTCCCCTTGCAGAGGGCTGAGTTCCAGCTAGAAGGGCGCAGGTAATGAACTTCTGCTCACCTGTAAGGGGGAAGCCCCTGCCCCCTGCCCTGAGCCCAGAGCACACTGCTGTCACCTCCATGACGGCTCTCCCCATCTTGGGGTGGCCCCTACTCTGCCCCTCCCCCTTTCGAGCCCCCCATGGACAGGGGCCACCCTCACCAACTCTGGCTCTACCGCTCCCCTGCCCTAGGCAGAAAAACCTGAGCTGGGTGGTGAGGGGGTTTCTGTACCAACTAAAGGCACCCCTGCTGTCAAGCAGCATCACTTCTGCATTTCCATACCTGGCTCTGGCGCTTCTGAGACGGAATCAAAAGGGTCGAGGTAAGGGAAAAACTTCTCGCCTTCCACCGGAAGTGGGGCTGTCCTTCCGGGGACATAGAACATCAGAGGCACTCGTGTAGTGACGTCAAAATTACTGTATTTCGCCCATTCTCCATGTTCACCGAGAGCCCATCCTGGTTCATAAAAATCAGAGCATGACAGAATATGAATCAGCACCTCACAGCTTGCTCACTTCAGTTAGACACCACTTCATTCCCTGTTGTAAAAGCCAGAGGAAGCAAAAACTCAGCATCTAGAAGAAATTCCGCTAGAATTACCACACAGAAAGATAAGAGGTGGAGTCATTGTGACTCAAATCACACAAGCTCAGGTTTGCACTTGTGGGTGTGTACCACAAAAACAAGATCTCTGAGACTGAGGCACAGTTTCCCACATTTTAAAAAGACATGTGTATCTTTTTCAATTTTTACGAAACACCACAGACCAAAGAAAATAACTTCCGGTTCCACATGCTTAACCTTGATTTAAAAACAACTCCGAAGCCTCCTTTAAAATACTTCTTGCAAAAGACAGCTTGAATACCCCAAGCTGGCAATTTCCAATCACTTTGAGTGCCCTTTTTGATACAAAAAATATAAAACAGAGAGAAAGTATTTCATATTAAAAAATAAACAAAATAATGTCAAGCTGCCATGTACAGGTTCAAGAAGGCTTCTGTAGTTCGGATGTAGGCAGTCCCAGGAGGGCCCTTTGGGAAGGGCCATTTGTCATCAAGTGCAACTGCCTCAGAGCAGAAGCTAGTTTCCAGCTGGCCTGGCCTTCACAGGGCTTCAGGGGCCATGGTGGCACTGGAGGAGGAAACTGGGCACTGAGAAGGGGGTTCCAAAGGTGATGGCAGATCATTAGGGAAACAGTGAAAACTTATGACACCTCCATACTTAACTTACGAGTCTTTATAAGGTGTAAGGTAGGCTTGTGAGAAATGACACGGAGAATTGTCTATGACATTAAGTGGAAAAAACAAACCAGGGAACAAAACAGGACATAAGCACAATCGATCTTGCCATATTTTACAGCTATACATTATGCACATACACACTCATGACATAGAGTCCCATGTATATGCATGACGAAGGATGGATGCCTATCTGTCAACACCAGTTAGCTCTGGGCAAGTGGGATAAAGGGCAGTGTGCTCTGTGTGCTTCGTTCTCATCACAATGAACACATGCTATGATCTAAAACAGTCCCACTTCATATATGACAATGTTAGAGAATTATTTTCCTGTTTCTAAGTAGGACAGTGGTAGTATAGTCAAACTTCAAAAGAGCCAAATTTATTAGAGATACTGTTTAGAAAACTGAACTACCTGAGCCTGGCTTCAAAACAATTTGGGGATGGGGGTGTGGGTGAGGATGAGACCAACAAGACTGCTGTGAGTGGATAACTGAGGCATAGGAACATGGGGAAAGGGGCTCACTGGCCCCAAACACACCTCAGAAAAGAATCCTTTTAAAAAGATATTTTTATTATTGGAACAAGTGGGAAACTGCCTTAGAGACCCAAAGTAGTGAGCCCCAGGATCCCAGCAGACAGGACAGCGGGGATCAGGCCTGAAGGCCATGTTGGGCTCTGCCAGCATTGTTCTGCACCCTCCTCAGACAAACTAAGAGTCCTCCAACCCTCTCGGTGAGAAATGGGGGCTCCTGCTGAGTTCACCAAGAAAGAAAGATTAGTATGAGGTCCATCCCACCTACCCACTTCCACCAGCTAAGATACTTCTTTGACTCAAGAGAGGCCTGGCCTCCATGGAGAGAAGTCCTGGGTCTAACAAGGTGAATACAAAAGCACCCAAGACTGCAGACTCAGGGCACTCCTGATTCACGGAAGAGAATACACACCTATTTCACGCAAGCTAGGGAAGTTTTCACAGACAAGTTCAGATGCTTTGAGTGACTCGCCAGGGCCATTCAAAACACTTACCATGATCGGAGGTAAGTGCCACGATCGTGCTGCTGGCCAGCTGAAGGTCATCCAGAGCACTCAAGAGGTGGCCGACCTGTGTATCCAAATAGGATACACAGGCAAAGTAGCTCTGGCGGATTTTCCGCTGCAGATAAAAAATAGTAATGCAAGTGACTACGATTTAATGTGTATGGCATACCCAGATACAGTGCTTGTTTGAACGCCCCTCCTGAGCCCCAGCCCTTTGGTGCCCTTGGTGACATTTTTCAACAAGAATAGAACACTCATTCCCTCCCCATACCCTGGCCTCAGCGTGTGTGTGTGCTAAGTTGCTCAGTCGTGTCTGACTCTTTGTGACCCTATGGACTATAACCCTCCAGGCTCCTGTGTCCATGGATTCTCCAGGCAAAAATACTGGAGTGGGTTTCTATTTCCCTTCTCCAGGGGATCTTCCTGACGCAGGGATTGAAACTGCATCTCTTATGTCTCCTGTATTGGCAGGCAGGTTCTTTACCACTAGTGCCTTCCACAGCCACAGCCAAATTCCCACTTTTGGGGGCAAGTCAGCAAATCAGTTTTCACTTTTGGACACAGATCACAGTGGATAGATATGCCTCTTACTATTCACTTCTGTCTCCTTCACATATCCTTATGAGTCCCAGGAAATGACCATGTACACAGAAACTGATGCCTCAACCTCCCAAACTCTGAAGTGAAGTGAAGTGAGGTTGCTCAGTCGTGTCTGACTCTTTGCAACCCCACGAACTGTAGCCCACCAAGCTCCTCGATCCATAGGATTTTCCAGGCATGAATACTAGAGTGGGTTACCATTTTCTTCTCCAGAGGATCTTCCCGACCCAGGGATCGAACCCAGGTCTCCCACATTGTAGGCAGATGCTTACCGTCCCAAACTCTGAGAGTCACGCCAAAGATGCCATAAAGCTGTACTCATATCCTGGGCTCTAACAAAGTATGACATACTTGGTGGCTTAAAACAACAGAAACAGATTGTCTCCCAGTTGTGGAGGCCAGAAGTCTGAACTCAACGTGTAGGCAGGGCCGGGCTCTCTCTGAAGGCTCCAGGAGAAGAATGTTCTAGCTTAGGGTGGTGGCTGCAATCTCTGGGGCTCCAGCCTCTGCCCCAACCACCCGTGGAGTCCTTCTGCTGTCTCTCTCCTCTTCTTATGAGAACCCCAGTCACTGCGGATGTGGCCCCGGTCTATGACAGCATGAGCTCACCCATGTCACATCTTCCAAACAAGGTCACGTTCTGAAGCCCTGGGGGTCAGGACTGTCACAGATCTTGCTGAGGCACACAACTCAACCCTAAGGGTGGCCATGAGCAGGCCTCTCCTCTGGGTCATTTGTCACCTGGCAGAAGATCATAGCCATGTTCTCTCCAACAAGCTGCCTACCGCGCACCCTCCTCAGACTCTCGGCCCAAGTGGCTCCTGGAGCAGAAGGTGTCTGCTGGCCTGACTCTGCCCCTGCCTTTTTCATGGGAAGGAAGAAGATCATGTTTTCAGTGTCTTCCTGGGCCACCTACATCAGAATCCCCATGAAGATTTGTGGGCTGCACGGTGTCCTGGCCCCACTTTGACTCAGAGCTGGAAGCTGGGAGTGGAGTCCGAGAACCTGCATTTCCCACAAAGCACACCTGGCGATTCCAATGGGAAGACAGTGTGAAAACACTGTTGTCTGCCTTCCCATATAGAGGGCCCGTTGGAATGTTCATGTGGTAACAGAAGGGCAGGGCCACATATGGAATATTCCAGAAAGTGTATCCTCAACATCCACTTTGCACTTCAGGGAAGGGGGGCTGGCAAGTCAGCACAAGGATTCCAACTCCAGAATTGCTCTATCCCCACATCATGACAAATGGACCCCAGACACAGCAGCTGGACAGCGCTGGCCATGTGTGTGCCCCGCTCCCTCTGCACCAAGGCCCCATCACTAAGCCACCTCCTGATACCAATGGGTGCACGTATCAGCTTTCCCACAGAGGAGACTCACCAGGACCAGCAAACCTAGAGTTTCAGCTAGCACAGGAGTCACCAACCACCCTCCACCTGACAGACTTGTCACCTGGATTCAACAGCATTTCCCATTAGTGAGGGTTACCCAGGCCTCATCTCCATCCTGGGGCCCCAGCCAGTGAGTTCCCAAGTCTCCTGACAACCCCCTTCTTTGGAATGGGGATGCTGAAGGGGAGATTTGTCAATCTACCCAGCACATCCACCCCTGACCCCTGCGCTCCACAGGATGCTTCACACATAGAAACTTGGTACCTGAAAATCAGCAGGAATAGGGCCATAGGGCACACTGAGATTTAAGGCTTGGACGTCCTCCCGCTGCCTGAGGTCCATCCAGGGGTTGTAAGCCACCAGAGGAAGACCAGCGGGGACCTGGGGGTCAGGAGCCAGGCTGACGTTCTCCAAGGGATATAGCTTCTGAAATTCCTTGGGGGAAAAGCACACAAAGCCACCAGGATGTCACTCTTCTGGAAAAGGCACAGGCTGGGCCTCTTCTCTCCACCTGTGATGCACTGACACAGGTGTCTCCCTGCCTGAAAGTCACTGTCACGAGACACCAGTGCTAATGAAATCATTCGACTGGTTTCCTGCAAACCAATCAGTGACAGCTCTCTTCCTTCATAGGGACCGGTGCCCTCCTATTTCTGTTACCACCTCCCCTCCAACTAGAAAACATGTGGAGAGTTGTTGCCAGCTCCCCGAACCACTCTCATGTTCACAGTCACTGGGAGAGCTCACAGGCTACGATTATAACAGTGAAAGCATATGAGACACAGCAAAGGGGATACTCTGGGGGACACCAGGAACAGCCCCAGTGCAGTCACACAGGATGTGAGTCATTCCCCCAGCAATGAGTTGTTTGACATTTATGCCACACTGCCAGCCGGGAAGCAGAGGCTCATGAAAGCCTCACCGCCCAGGGCTTTGACGAGGCTGGTCACCCAGGTACCCTCTGCCTGCACAGATCAAAATCCCAGACTTGAGGCAGGAAAGCAGGGGTTTCTGTGGACAGTCCGGGCCTAGACAGTCACTCAGCAGTTTTGGGAGAGGGGAGAACACTCACTCCCAGGAGCCAGGTTCCCCAAAGCTGGGTCAAGGTCAAACCTCATGAGCAGGCCCAGAGGTAGGCTAACTCCTTCTGCATGGGACAAAGAAGTGAGTCCCCCTCTGGCAAGGGGGCTGACAGGTCCTGCAAGGAAGGCCCGATGCCCTAGGCCAGTCAAAGGCAGACAAACACAGCATCAGAGAGCAGCCTCTGGTCTCCACTCCCATCGCAAACGACGGGCCTGCTTTGTGAAACCAAAAGGATGGGCTGCTTAGGCCCAGGGAAAACACGATAGGGAAAACTGAAAAATATTCTGCAAAAGAAGTGACTACATACTCTAAATAATATGCATGTAAGCACAGGATTTGAGGCTCGAACAAGTCACACAGGGCCCTGTGTTTCAAAGCTCAGGGGAAAGGCAGTTAAGTTGACTAGGGTTGCACAGCCCCTGGAGGGGTGTCCCAGGGACCATCCCTTACTGTGGGCTAGGGTGGCCGGCTCTGCCACCCTTCTCCATGATGATTTCACCATCCACCCCTACATGACTCACTGTATCCAAGGAAAAAACCCTCCAGTGGAGGAAGGAGAAAACCCAGCGTTTCCAACTAGATTACTATCCTAAGTCTCCTTCTTAGCCTTAACCTCTGAAACCCAGCATCCCACCACTGAGTACACCAGTGCCATCAGGCAGCCCTGGTGACTGGGGATGGCCAGATGTGGCCACCTTTACAATGACCCAGCTATCACAGCTGTGCTGGATCAGTCCTCAGCCAGCTCTTCACCTTGGGGTATCTGAAGGGGATGTGTGGCTTATGGTACCCCACAGCCAGGAAGAAAGGACTGGCCGATGTTTTCATCTTTCCCAACAACTGTATAGCTTGCTCAGTGCTCTGCATATCAGGCAGGGTGCCCTCAGGCACATCCACCACATCCACGGGGCACAGCAGGTTGGCATGGAGTTCTCCATCTGGTCCCCTACAGGTCTTTCAAAACAAAACATATAAAATCAGCTTTTTAAATGCAAGAAACAGAAGCCATGAGAGTTTCACACAACCAATTCAGCTTTTTTTACCTCTAGAACATTAAGTATTAGACTAGACAGGCACACAGGAAGCAGTACCGAAACACAGAAGTGCTTCTTATTTTCCAGGCAGAGGCCAGAAGTCCACCAGCACTTAGCTTCCTGTGGTGTATCTTCTGTTTCTACATCATAATTAATTAAAGGAAACCCAAGTAAACTAATGATAAAAAAAATAGCTGTCTCCAACTCAACAATAAAAAACATAGACAAAGGACTTGAATACATATTTCCCCAAAGAAGATAGACAGATGGCCAATAATTACATGTAGAGATACTTAACGTCATTAAGGAAATGAAAAAAAAAATGTTTTCAATTTCAAAGACAGACTAAAGCTTCTAAGTGACAGGGCTGCAGTTAACTGGATAAAGTGATAGTTGGTAGAATTTTGAGGTCCTCATGTACATCATGCACAGGATGGAACTGAACCTACTTCTTCATTTCCTAAAGCAGACACGTTGGCCACAAGGCCAATTTCAGTTTGGACCATGGTTTCTACCTCACAAACACCCAGAGGCAGTGGCAGCTGCTGCTACATCTCACTGAGGAGCATCCTTTCACAGGCCTGCCTTGTCCATGCCGCCCTGGCCAGGACAGCCACCACCTGCCTCTTAGTACCCACTCAGCTGCCATGTTCACATGGTCTGCAACACCCCTGGGAATGTGGTGCAGTCAGACCCATCACTTTTGAGAATGATATGAGGGATGGGTTCATGGACCTGGCATTAGTGAGGCCACTAAAAGTAGGGAGATGATCTCAGGGAACAGAAGGCTTGAGATGCAGTCTTCCAACCTTATTCTGTTAACACTCAAGCCACTGGCCAAAGGTCAGAGCCCCCTGACTTTCACTGTATTCTGAAATGAAAGTTTTCGTGAGTTTAGAAAATTCTTCTGCACCCCACCAATCTCCCCCAGTCCACACCCTTCTCCCACATGATGGCTCTAAAAACCTCTGAGAAACATGTCATTTCTCAGTGCTCTAGCTGGTGTTCTGAATTTCTTAAATGTGAGTTTTAGTTGCATTTATACATTGGGGGGATGGTGAATTCTCTGAACCATCATTAAGTTTCCTTATAGACTCCTTTTTTTCATAATGCTCTAAAATTTTAAAGCCCCTATCAAAGGTCTCAGCACCAGAACACATCCATTAGGCCCAAGACAGAGAGACAGACAGTTGGAAAGCCTTTCTCCCCATCTGGGCTGAGGCGCTCAGAGCACAGGTCTGTCTTCTCCCTTCCATGTCTCACCATCTCCTCTAACCCTCTGCACAGAGCTTTCCCCAGAGGGAGCACAAAGGAGCCATTAAATAAGTCTTACACATTAGAGCAGAAGTTTCTAGAGTGACACATCCCAGCCAGCTTCTAAAACCTCAGCCACCTCTCCACTGGACTTAATGCTAAAGATCCTAACACTTGTCTCTGTCAAGTCATGATCACAAACCAAAGCCACAAAGCTCACCATAGAACCAGCTAGAAAGAACATAGAATACATGCAATAGTTAACTTTAATCTGGTAGACAGAGAATAAGAGGTTCCTCTTCAGAACAGTACCCCTTTCAGAGCCTCACCTTGGTGTTTTCATACTTTTCAGAGGAGGGATGATAAGGTGGAACAGACCAGCTGTATGGAGAATCATCACTATGATTGGAAGATATCCCTTGGGAGGAAAAGGAAAAGTCATTAAATACAGCATGGCGGGTCCCTCAATGCCCTCCCCACCCAAAATGTACACTTTGCATACAACTGGGGAAGGGCCAACCCCCTCTTCTGGCCTCAGTCGCCTCATCTATGAGACCAGGAGCTAGGCCAGATGACAAGAAGTCCCCACAGGAGCTGTCCCTCTGGGCTTCTTCCTGAGCCCTGAGCATTGGACCTGGCCCCAAAGAGCCCTCGCTGGCACCTCTCCCCACCCAACGAGGAAGGCAGCAGAGGCACGGGCACAACCAGGGATGGCTAGGCCAGGGAAGGCTCCACAAAGGGGGCGTCTTGTTGGATGCCAACCAGACAGGAAGCAAGGGGAATGGGACTTGAACCCCTGCCTCAGGACATCAGGGCCAGTGCTCGTTCATGAGGCAGAAACCCACCCAAGCTCAGTAGTCCACAGTCTATTTGGGAAAACAACATAACAATGTGCAACACCCAGGAAGGACGGCAGCTGTCTGGGGAGGAGAAGCACTGTGGAAGCGGGGAGCCCTGGGCACAGAGGGGACATGGGTCCGGGCAGGGGGGGCAGTGAGGGCCCTGGACGGAGGGAGGGAGAGCCTGTATCGGCTCAGTGGGGAGGAGCAAGGGCAGCACGGGCACACAAGGGGACTGCCGTGACGAGCTGGGCAAGGCGGGCCTGAGGCAAAGGCGTGGCAGGCAGAGGGCTTCTCAACAGCACAGGCACCAAGATGTGGCTCACAGACCTGCTCCAAACCCCAGCACTGCCCTCCGTGCCCGTGCAACCTCGGGCGAGTGACCTGACCTCCCCAGCCTCAGTTTCCTCCCTGGGGAAGTGAGACCCATGAGAAAACCCTACCCCCAGCCTGCCAGAGGATCAGGGCGGTGGCCAGGCACTCAGTCAAGGAGGCCAAGTCAGCCTCGAGCAGGCCCCTCCCTGACAGAACCGGTTCTTGAGAACAAAGACTCTCTTGAAAAATGTGTCTTCATGAGGGCTGCAGTGCTACATTCATCCCCACTAAGACAATCCCATGAGCTCATTCTTGGGAGGAAGGAGGCCTCCTTCCTGAAGCACCATCTCCCCTCCACTGTGTCTCCTTTCTTGGGCTCTCCCTCCAGTGGTGCTCAGGCGAGGGTGTCAAGATGGGAGCAGAAAGTTCTAGTGCTGCCAGCCTTTCGGCCACGCAACATGATTCCTGGCAGATTCACCTTCAAAACTGGGCCCAACTTTGCAGCCCCTCCTGATAAGTGCTACATGGGACAGAGCTTGAGCTCACAATGCACCCCCACGCTCCCCTGGGAAGGGAATCAAGGTTGCTGCCACTCCAGCTTCCCAGAGGAGTAATGGGAGAATCAAAGATGATGAATGATTTGCCCGAGGTCAACTGCACAGCTAAGCAATGGCAGGATTGAAGGCAGGAGGAGAAGGGGACAACAGAAGATGAGATGGTTGGATGGCAGCACCGATTCAATGGACATGAGCTTGAGCAAGCTCCAGGAGTTGGTGATGGACAGGGGAGCCTTGTGTGCTGCAGTCCATGGGGTTGCAAAGATGGACACGACTAGCTGAGGGAACAACAACAAAGCAGTGGCAGAGCTGGGACTAGAAGCCAGCGGCCCGCACCCCAGTGCTACTGTCCATCAGCAGTTCACTCTGCCTCCAGAGATGCTCATCCAATGGACGTGAGGGAACCTGAAAACAAGGGGGACTAAACTACTATACATGTCTCTGTTAGACCACCATGCTGCCATTAAAAATGATGGTGTGAATAGTCACTACATGGGAAAATGTGCTTAAAACACTCACAGCATATAACTGTATATACAGGAAAAGCTCAAATCAGAAAAATAATGCACTCATCAAAATACAACTCTTCTCCATGTGCCACAAGTACAAGTAATTTATATTCTTTAGTTTATACTTTCCTTCTTTTCCACCCAACTTTTTGCAAAATAACCATGAATTACTTCAAGGTAAAAAAAAAAAAAATAAGTATGTGCTTCAGCCTTCTCATTTTGGCATTAAAGAGAGCCAGTTCACCAGGAAGTGTTGAAGGTCAGAGACCCTGGTACCAGCTCACTCCCCTCTTTCTGACCTAACTCACAGACAGTGGGCAGACAACCCCCACAAAATTGCAGCCTCTTCACTGGGCAAGTCAACAGAGCTGCCCTGATCTTACTTTACTGCCAGGGAGCCAAGGGTACAGGGGGTCAGGTGCAGAGCTGGACTCACAGGCAATGCTGGCCCCCCTTCATTCCCATCACCAGTATCCGAAAGAAAGAAAAAGCTCTTCTACCATTTCTCACTTTGGGTGAGAACACAAAGTCAAGGTGAGAAGTGCTACTTTGGACAAAGACATCAGTGACTGACAAGGTGTCCACCGAGCCCAAAAAGGCCTCTGCAGAGAGAGCTCCAACCCCAGGAGGGGTCTCCAGTCCCCAAGCACGAAAAAAGAGAGAACCCAGACTCTGCAGGGCAAGCAGTACCAGGGTGAAAGACTTTTCCAACCGACATGGTCACGTAGCCGTTCTCCTTGAAGTACTGGGGGATGGTGGAGAAGTTTCCAGCGTGCACCCTCCAGTAGGAGTTGAAGTCATACAGGCGGGTAGTGTCTGGTCTCCTCCCAGTGAGGAAGGACACGCGGCTCGGGGCGCACACGGCTTGCTGGTAGGGAGCAGAAGCAAAAGGACACGTCCTCAGAGGAAAACAACGTCTGGCAGCTAAAAGGTAACCAGGCAACCTCCCGGGTCCTCAGCTAACAGCTTGGCGGCTGAGTCATGCAGATCTCAAAGCCAACTAGCTGGATTTGGGCCTCCTGCCAGAAAGAAGTCTTTCCCGAGAGGAGCGGAAGGCCTCAGCCCCTCCATCCAGCAGATGACTGTGTCCTTCTGCCTAATGGCGTCTCTCGGGGCCCCAGAGCGGGCAGGGTCTTGGGGAGCACATGGGGTAGGACTACCATGGCAGTACCCCTTCTTTCTCAGCACCAGGCCATCCCCATTGTGGGGAAGAAAGCTGAGCACGATAGGACCAGGGCACACCCTCCACCCCAGGAGAAGTACCCTTTGAAGGCAACCAGCTGTCTTGCCAGTGGACAACCAGGTTTTCTCAACCACCATTTCCCTTTTAATAAAGAGACGCCATCCCACAACCCTCAGTGCACAGTGGGAGGGGGGCACGCCCAGAGGTGCCCAGACATACCTGGGCAAAGGCATTCTGGAAGAGAAGGCTGCGGGAGGCCAATTGGTCGATGTTTGGGGACCTTATGAGCTTGTTCCCATAACAGCCCAGGGAGGGGCGTAGGTCATCCACGATGATGAGAAGGACATTCAGAGGATCTGCACAGGGGAAGGGCTGCAGTGAGATCACCTGGACTGACACCTAACCCCCACCAGTAGCAGATGCTAGGGTACCAAGAGGCCTAAGGCTGGCACAGGAGCCTTGACAGCCCAGCCAGCCAAGCCAGGGAGAGTGGAAGCGGGCGCACAGAGGAAGCCCCAGTCCTGGGTGGCAAGCAAGGTTAGGCTCTGGCCATGGCCTCAAGCCTGGATGAGGGAGGGAGGGAAGGAAGGAGAGTAAGAACAGGGAGGGAGGGCACGAAGGATGGGAGAAGCGATGGTGGGTAGGAGGGAGGGGAGGAAGGATGGACGGAATGGTAGGAGAGAAGGAGCGAGGGAGTTAACGAGGGACCTAGCCAGGGAACGAGAGACGGAGCCCCGCAATAGGGACGAAGGACGCACCTGTGGCGTTGCCTGGCGCCGGGGGTTCGCGGGAGGCACAGACAGCACCCAGCACCAGGCCAAGCCATAGCAGGGAACGGCTGGGTGGTGGCATTTCTGCCCCAGAGCAGCCGCTCCAGGGCGACGGCTACAGGTTTCGGCAGGGCCGGGCCGCTCCCGCCTCCTGTCCCTCATCGGAAACTCGGGAAAGCGGCGAGAAATGGCTATAAGCCGCCGCACAAGCCGAGCCCGGGCCGAGCGCGAGTACGCCTGCGCGAGATCCGGGCCACAGTGGGCGGGGCCCTGACTCTAGCGAAGCGCCCGCCCCGCCCCGCGGCCCCGCCCACATGGCCGACCTCCTCGCCGGGAGCGGTGGCCCCGCCCACCTGGCCGAGAGTCTCGCCCACTGCCCCTTTAGGACAGGAGCACAAGGAGTCTTTCCAGGTGTCCTCAAAGATTTCCGTTGCAACCACTGTCCTCAACCAGCAGTTTCCCGCCTCTTTGCCTTTGCTCGTGCAATGCTTTTCACCTAGAAGTCCTTCCCTTCCTTCTTCTGTCTATAAAGTCATACTTTTCCTTGCAGATCAGCCCGAATGCCATTCTCCTTCCATGGTGTCCTTTAAGAGCCCACCTTGCTCCATCTAAAAGGATTCCTATCCTATGCATTTGCTCAACACTTATTAAGTACACCAGATATGTATCCCGAGCACTGCTGGCGGCTTGTGAGTTCTAAGTCCCTACCCTGGTGGACCTTGTGGACAATAAATGACCAAATAATATGGGGGGTGGGGCATGGGGAGTTTCACGTTATTTTCTATGGGGTGACCAGGCAAAGCCTCAATAGTAAAGTCTCATTTGAACAAAAACTTGAAGGAAGTGAGGGACCATTCACTGTGGAGAGCATGCTGACAGTGTGAGCCAATGGCACAGTGGTTGGTGGTTGGTGTGGCCGGAGGGGAAACAGGAGATGGGGACCAGGTAGGAGGTGGGAGAAGTGACTGTCACAACTCTTTGATGGCAAAAATCATTCAGTGTCTGCCTGGGGCTTAGGGTTGAGAAGGATATCACAATCCTCTCTGTCTCTGACTCACCTCTCCTAGTATAAGAACCTAGCAGAATGCCAGGCAGATTGGAGATCTTTTCTTGCACACAATAATCCATACATGTTAGTATTGTTATTGAGGGTTTCATATACCTAGACCATGTGCTAATTTTCTCTTCACATGAACACTGTGAGCTAGATGCTACTATCATTCCCATTTCACAGATCCAGAAATTGCAATTCAGAGGGGCTAAATCACTCACGCTATCACACAGCCAGAAAGTGGAGGCGCAGGGTGAACTTCCATGATAAGGAACCTAATCTGTTGGTAGCCACAGTGCAGTCATCGCAGGAGACCTGCTACCATTGCCGCAGCACCTGCTTTGCTGTTTCTTCAGGTCCCCGCAGGGTGGCTGTTCACACTGCAGCCTGGCTGGCATTCCCTGCCTGCCCTGCCCAGGAAGGGCCAGCTTCCACCTGCACTCACCACACCAGACCATGCTGAATCCTTTGGGATGGGCCAGCTCAGCCAAGTGCTGAAGCTGCCAGGCTTGAGGTGGTGTCTCAGCTGTCCCTCCACATGCTGAGATTACACTTGCATTCAGTTCAGTTGCACAGTTGTGTCCAACTCTTCGCAACCCCATGGACTGCAGCATGCCAGGCCTCTCTGTCCATCACCAACTCCCGGATCTTACTCAAACTCATGTCCATAGAGTTGGTGATGCCATCCAACCATCTCATCCTCTGTTGTCCCCTTCTCCTCCTGCCTTCAATCTTTCCCAGCATCAGGGTCATTTCCAATGAGTCAGTTCTTCACATCAGGTGGTCAAAGTATTGGAGTTTCAGCTTCAGCATCAGTCCTTCCAATGAATACAGGACTGATTTCCTTTGGGATTGACTGGTTTGATCTCCTTGTAGCCCTTGCATTGGTGGCTGCCTTTTCCCTCCCCAAAGTCTGGCCCCTAATGTTTCAGGAAGCTCTGAGCCAACCAGAGGACCCCAGTATCTATTTAGAAAATTGCCACCTGAGGGCTGCTTCCAGGCAACATTCATTAAGAAGTCAAAAGAACTCAGTCATAGGATCACAGGGAAATAGATTTGGCCAACAACCACGTGAGCCTGACAGAGGGCTCTGCACTCCACAAGGGAATGTAGCCTTGTGAGACCCTGAGCAGAGGATCCAGCTAAGCTGTGCCTGGACTCCAGATCCATAGAAACTGTGAACTAATAAATGTGGGGTGTTTTTAAATTTTTAAAATTTATTTGTTTATTTTAAATTTTATGTATGGCTCTGCTGGGTCTTTGTTGCTGCGTGGGCTTTTCCTAGTTGTAGAAATTGGGGGCTACTTTCTAGTTGTGGTATGTGGGTTTCCCATTGTCTTGGCTTCTCTTGTTGTGGAGCACAGGCTCTAGGATGTATGGGCTCAGTAGTGTGGCTCCAAGGCTCTGAAGCACAGGTTCAGTAGTTGTGGTGTATGACCTTAGTTGCTCTGCAACATGTGGGATCCTCCCAGATCTAGGATCAAACCGATGTCTCCTGACCTGCCAGGGAAGTCAATGTGTGTCGTTTTAAGTCACTAAATTTGTGGTAACTTGTGAAACAATACAAGATGAATACAACATTATTCATTTATGTAATGAATAGGCCTTTGACTGCAAGGTCAGATTCCTTCCGAGGGAGACCCTAACAAAACTCAAGCAGATGTGGAAGAGCTTTGAAAAATGAAATGCAGAAGTAAAGGGAGATGATAGTGGAGGAGAAGTGAAAGCAAATGCTGAAGACCGACACTGTTAAACACATAATCCTATTTCAGGAACACAAAGCAGCCTTCATTGCTGTAGACACCCTAGATTTTAATAATTCTCATGACTTAAATTTCAAAACTAATTTTTTAAGTACTTAAACACCCCAACAGACCAAAATGTGAAATGCCCTCCTCCATATCAGCTGCAGTCATACAGTAGCTCCAATTCATTGAGCAGTTTTTAAGGGAGTGACTTAGTTTCACAAAGAGTTGGACACGACTGAGCAACTGAACTGAACTTAGTTTCACTATAAACTAAAATATTTAGGTGGAAACATAAAATTAGAGCTTGGCTGTCTCAAGATTGGCACTACTTTGTAACTCATGAGATTTCATAAGGGCATCCAAAGCACACAGCCCCAAATCTTTCTATCTAAAATAGTTTATACAAGCACATCTTAAATACATTTCTGGAATATTAAAGAAATAATTTAAAAAAAGAAAGAATTATTGGTACACTACCAAATTAAATTAACTAAATTTCAAGCTCAAATTAACTAACCAGACACATGCATTGTCTTTTATGGGTTGGGTTTGGGCTTCCCAGGTGGCTCAGTGGGTAAAGAATCCACCTTTAATGGAGATGCAGGAGATGTGGGTTCCATCCCTGGGTTGGGAAGATCCCCTGGAGGGAAGCATGGTAACCCACACAAATATCCTTGCCTGGAGAACCCCACGGACAGAGGAGCCTGGCAGGCTACAGTCCATGGGGTCACAAAGAATCAGACACGACTGAAGCAACTTAACACACACATGTTCATGCAGCACATCCAACAGCCAAAGGCAGAATAAGCCAAAATATCCCTGGTGACTCAGTCGGTAAAGAATCTGCCTGCAATGAGGGAGATATGGGTTCGATCCCTGGATTGGGAAGATCCCCTGGAGAAGGGAATGGCTACCCACTCCAATATTCTGGCCTGGAAAATTCCATGGACTGTATACTGTATAGTTCATGGGGTCGCAAAGAGTTGGACATGGCTGAGCAACTTACTGCCCTAAGTCACATGCTTCACCAAGGCCTGTATAAGGGGAAATGATCGGGTCATCACAGAACAGGTTGGTCCCAGTCCCAGTCTCTGGACACCTTGCAGCATCCTGAATGAATTTTCCCTTCCTTTCCGTTCTCTCCCCTTCCTCTCCTTTCTTCTTCCTTCCTTTCTGCTCAAGCCCAGACCTTTTAATCCTGCCATTCATTGATTTGGCCAGCTCAGTTCTGGATGCACAGACAGGCTTGGATCATGCAACACTAGTAACTGTGTCAGGAAGTGGAGAATTTCTAAAAGCCTCCATCAGGGGCCGCCCAAGCGCTGGCTTCATTGGTGATTCACTTCCTTACAACAACATAAAGACCAGGGGTCCCCAACCTTGGGATCTAATACCTGATGATCTGAGGTGAAGCTGATGTAATAATAATAATAGAAATAAAGTGCACAGTACATGTAACATGCTTGAATCATCCTGAAATCATCACTCCCCCCACCTTCCACTCCACCCCCCACCATCGATGGAAAAATTGTCTCCAACAAAACCGGCCCCTGGTGCCAAAACATTTCTGGACTGCTGATTATAGACGAAGGCACACACTTCAGACAAACAGAAAAGCTTAATCACATATTGCACGAGTGAGGTATGACTGCTTTTCCCCCCATTTGCCCTGCATGCATGGGAACGAGGAGGTTCTATTTGGTCACCCCCTTCCTCCTGGTTTTCCTCGTTCCACTTCCATTTAGGGAGGATTTCTACTTATTCCCTCAGATTGAGCTTTACAAAGAGCCTCAGGGAAGGGAAATAAGGAGCCCTCAAGGAGGGAGGATTCTCACAGTTGGGGGCTTCCTGCGTGAAGGGAAGGGTTGCAGGGCAGCCCCAGGACAGTCTAGGGGCATTGCATACCTGCACTCTCAGCCGCTGACAACTGGGTGTTTCTTGCAAAGGGGAGCCCACAGATGGATGGCCAGAGCAACCCCTGCTCCCTCTGCACTTCTCCAAGAAAAGTGGAACTGGGAAGCAGCGTGAGGCCTGGGTTGACATTCCTATGCGGCCCCTCTCATAGGTGTGCCATGCATCACACTTCAGGTGCAAATGGGTCCATCCACAGAAGGAACAGCTAAAGACAGCTTGAAATGGGGCACTTTTCAGGGGAAAAACTGAAGTGTGCAAGAACTCTTCAGCCATACAGCAAATTACCACATGCCTCGTCAGCCAGGTGTCCTCCTGTAGTTAGTAGTTTATGCCAGAAAGGTAGCAAGGGGAACAACTGGCTTGGTGAGAAAAAGAATGCCTTCATTTTCTATGGCAGTAAGAATACTAAAAATATCAAGAATTTAAATTGTCTTCATCAGGACATGATTTCCTTATACACTGCATGCTGTTATCTGCATTTTACTTGAAGAAATGG